AAGAAGAAGAAGAAGAAGAAGAAGAAGAAGAAGAAGAAGAAGAAGAATCCTTCTGCCTCCAACTCCATGTGCTGCAATTGCAGCTGTGAACCACCACACTGGATCTTAGGAGTTTCTGGGGACTGAACCCAGGCTCTCATGTATAACAGCCACACACTCTATGAACTGAATTACATCCTCAGCCCTGCCCTTACGCCCTTTTAAGGTCTTGCTCATGCTAAGGTAAGTATTCTATAGTGAGTTATAACCACTAGCCACTCTTGATTGCTCAGCAGTGGTGCAGCCAGTCTCCCATGAGAATCAAAAAGCAAAGACTTCCTCCTGGTACCTGTTCAGAGGCCATGCCTTAAAGCCACCAGCAAAACTAGCAATGCCACGGAGTGAATCAAATCCAAACTGAGGGCTGTGTGTGTGGCCTCCCTCAGCTTCATTCCCTCAACACAGAATGCAAGAGCAGGCTATATCAGGGTTAATGAATGGTTTTATTTGCCTTGTACAGCATCAACTTTCTTACATTCTCAATTAATTTCCCATTAAAGTGCCAGACATGTCCTTAATCATGATGACATTTGTTAAAAGGAATCAGAACTTTTCTCAGAACACGGCAGTCACGAATGAACACTTTTCTTACCAAACCCAGAATGGAAGCCCCTCACACTGACCTGGTGGGTTGGACAAGTTGCAAACAGATTTAAATCCCCCTCTCACCTTGAGCACCAAACTAGGCTGGGACTAACACACCTAGGGATTAAAAGTCATGCTACAGAATTGAGAAACACCCACCCCCTGGCTGCCACCTCCTCTGAGCCATGCCAGGGTGTTGCCATTTGTACATATCCAACCTTCAGAGCAATGGCGACCTGGCCCCCTCTGCCACCTTTTATCCCACCTTCCCTTACTCACAAAAGCCCCCAAAGTCATTACAATGAAAAGAAAGTGGGTTTCCATTACCCAGGTACTAACAATGTTCAGTAAAAATAAGGATAAACACAAAAGCTTGCTTAGTAAACACGAGCTCTCAGCGTTCAATGCAAAAAAAAATAATAATAATAAACCAAAAAAACTAAAATCTTAAGGCAAATACTGTTGACTTTGCACATGGGCCAGATGAACTTAGAACTCTTTACCTAGCTGCAGAGTCCCAGGAGCCTAGAGGCACTTGGTTTGTCAGCACTTGCCACTGGGAGAGGCAAGGTCTTTGCATTATTGCTGAGGCTGTTGGGGTGTTTCTCTTTGGAGTTTATATACAAACACACCCAAGGCTGATGTATTTATATATATGTACACACATACAAGGCCCACTACTCTTTCTTTGTGGAAATTGAGAGTTCTACCTCAGGAAGCTGGATGCCAACCTTCGTCCCACTGTCATTGCTAGAAGAGGAAGACAGCCGGGACTTCTTTGAGGCCAAAGACACTCCACTCCCCTGTAACTTAGCTGCCTCATCATCACTCCCAGTCACCTCATAATGACCTTTGCTCTTTGACCCCAACCCACCGAAGGTACCAAATTTCAGCTTCCCATGTTTGCTTTTAACTTCTCCACCTGCATACTCCAAAGTCCCAGTTGGGGTGGAAGGCGCCGAGAACTCCCTCTCATCGCTGAAGGAGTTGGAGCGGTGTCTTGGCTTCTTACTTTTAAACAGCGAGAATTTGCCTTTTGGTGACGATGCTTCAGCATCTGCTTCTCCTTCCAGAGAGCCCAAGCTGGCCTTTGAGCTCTTCAGGTCCCCTTTGGACCCAGAAATGGATGCTTCTGGTGAGCCGGTGACACCACCTTTCCCTTTAGGTTTGGAAAAATTAAACTTGGGCATTTTGATTTTGGATTTTTTAAGTTTTACTTCCGACTCTTCCCATTCGTCTTCTCCTGCACCAGCCTGCACATTGGCCTCTACTTTAGGGAAGTTGACATCCACCCCTACTTCTCTGCCAACAAGCTCACGGCCAGAGAAGGCAAATTTGGGGATCTTCATCTTGGGGAATGTTACTTTTCCAGATCCACTTTCCAAGTGACCTTGAGGCCCAGATACACTCAGCCCGGGACCCTGGAGTCCTGTCTGGCCTCCTTTTACACCTCCTTCTATCTTTGGTCCTGAGAAATGAAGGTTCCCAGCAAGTTTAGATGTATCCAGGTTTAGAGAGGAGGAGACTTGGGGTCCCTTCCACTCAACCCCGGAGTCTTTGACACTCATATGCCCTTCACCCAGGTTGATATCTGGGACACTGACACCCCCTGAAACATCTACACCTCCTTTGACTTTGGGGCCCTTCAAGCTGACACCAAAATCTGACTCTGAAGATGCCATGTTAAAGGAAGGCCCCTTGACACTGATATCAGGGGCAGCCCCATGGAGACCTATTCCTGGACCTTTCAGATCTCCTTTAATTTCAGGACCAGAAAGCTGCCCCGTTGGGAGTTGCACATCACACCCAGAAGCCTTAATTCCAGGCATTTGGAGATTTCCTTCTAGGCCCTGAACACTGATGCCTGGAAGGCTTCCCCCAACTGCTGGGCCTTTCAATTCTCCAGTGGCCCCAAGGCTCCCCTTCACTTTTGGTCCTTCCAAGTTAAAGTCCATGCTTGGTGCTGAGATCTGGGGCCCCTTCAGGTTCACGTCCATCCCTGGCTCCTTCAGTTCTCCACAAACTTGTGGCCCCTTGATGTTAATGTCCAAGTCAGACCCTGGAGCAGAGATGCCAAACTGAGGCAGCTTCATGTGAGGAAATTTGACGCTACCTTCTGAGGCCTCCAAGCTGAGATCCGGAGCACCCACAGATATTTTAGGGCACTTGATGTCCCCAGACATGGTCAGATCTCCCTGTAGGCTTGGTCCCTTCAGTGTCACATCTGGTGCCCCCACATTAAGTGCTGTTGTGGCATCAATCCCTGGGATTTTCACACCATCTCCTCCTATCTGTACTTTTCCACCAACACCTTTGAGGTCAAGACCTGGGGCGTGCAACTTCATGCTGGGACTGGATGCATCCAGGTCTCCCTTCAGACTTGGTCCTTTCAAGTTCAGGTCAAGATCAGGCCCAGAAATTTTTGGCACAGAGAGGTCCACCGAAGACAAGTCCACTCCTGGGCCTTTAAGAGATATATCAGGCCCTTCAAACTTAACATCTGATGTGCTCAAGCTTCCTTCAAGACCAGGGGCACTGATCTTGGGCAGTGAAAACTTGGGGAACTTGATTTTTCCTTCTGGACCTTGCAAATCAACATCAGGTCCTTCCAGACCCACACTGGGGACATCACCCTTTATCTTTGGCCCTGTCAGTTTAACATTCACATCAGGTATAGAGACTTGAGGAGCAGACACACTGAATGAGGGTGCTTTGATTTTGGCATCAGGGCCTCCGATGTTGATGTTAGGTGTGTCCAAGTTTGCCTGCACCTTAGGACCTTTCAAGTTGCCCTCTAACTTTGGCCCTGAGACATCCACACCTGGCATCTTGAACTTGGGAGTCTTCACATGGACGTCAGGAGCTTCCACATTAACCCCTGGTGAAGAAACATCCAGATCCGGTACCTTGATGTCACCCTCCAACTTAGGGCTAGGTAGGGAAGCCTCTGCTTTAAATTTAGGTGACTTGATGTCAAATTCTACATCTGGGAAGTACATTTTTCCAAACATGGTTTTCTTGGCTTTCGGAGACTTTACATCAACTCTGACTGCAGCATCAGGCCCTGCAACACCGATGTCCACATCAGGAGCCTTCAGACTGGCATCAATCTCACCTCCGGGAACGTTCAGATCAAATCCCTGCTTTTTGGCTTTAACTTTAGGACCACTCATGTGAATTTTAGGCATTTTAAATTTGCTTTTCTTGCCCTTTCCACCAAGGCTTACATCAGGGCTTTCAACACTCAGCTCTGCTTCAGGGACAGTCACATCAACTGAGGGTGTCTTGATGTCAGCTTTAGCGCTTTTTGCACCAAATCCAAACTTGGGTTTCTTAAACTTTGGAACTTTAACATCTGGGCCCTCGATATTAATATCTGGGCTCTCCATGCGGACATCTAAACTTGGAGTTTCTAAATCAACTTTGGGTCCCTTAAGGTCCACTTCACCACCTCCTAACTTAGGCCCAGAAACACCAATTTTTGGTGTCTTGAGGTGCACATTAACATCAGGCCCAGTTACTTTAGGAGCAGATATATCCAGTGATGGCATCTTCAACTTAGGGCCACTAAGTTTAGCATCAGGGCCTTCAAAATCTAGACCTGGACCTTTCAGGTCTACTTCGGGTCCTTTGAGACTACCTTCAATCTTGGGAACGGACACATCAAAGTCTCCTTTTACCTTGGGTCCTTTTAACTCAAGATCCACATCGGGCATAGAGATTTTAGGAGCCTTGATGCCAATCTCAGGCATCTTGAATTTAGGACCCTTCAGTTTTGCATCAGGTCCTTCAATATTCACATCTGGAACATCAATGTCCACCTTGGGTCCTGAGACATCAATGTCAGCCTTCGGCAG